GGAGCCCTAGTCTGCCCGCACCCCTCCAGAGGGTATTTTAGGCCACTTCGTCAAGCTCGTGGCACATCTTGGATACAGAGGAGTGTACCCACACTGCACTGGTAAAACAAAACAAGGACGATGCGTATATTATCAAAGCACATTTTGTTTGCATGTTTCACCACATGCATGTTCGGTTAATGCAGACTTGATGCCTAGTTATAGGTGTCTATGTGGTGTTTGAACATCTTAAAATCTCCGGTGTTTATTCCAGATATGGTAAAGACTTTTTTTTATAATCTTGATTCAGTACCGACAAAAAGGGTCCCATAGACATATACAGTATATGTTTCCTTTAGGGCAGCGTTATTGACGAGTATATAGAGTGTTTGTGAAAAGCCGCGTGAAGCTTAACAAAGTATCAGCGGGTAAGGTGAGCATAAAACAACAGAGCGCCGCTCAGAACAAATCATTACCCAAGTTGCGGCTGCTTGACTTTTCAGCCCTTTGGCCATCAGCAGCTGTGCCTGGCCTCCGTACCACGAACCGCAAACCACGCACAGTGGTGGTGGCATTTGGGGGGGGGGCGATACTAATTTCACGTTATACCCTGTTGGGGCGTAAATTAAGTTTTGGGCTGGCACTTGCCACAAGGAACGTAAATCGATAGGCTATCAAATTGTCGATTTCAGGGTCAGACTGCAAACTCCGGTGATCCCCGCAGAGGCTTTTGGCTCACCATCGAACAAAGATGGTCACCGCATCGCGCACTTTCAGATGCGCTTCTGGAACGCTCTTCCTTCTGATATTAGGAAGCCACTGGGAGCCATGCACTTTTCGCTCTAGATTGAAAACTCATTTCTTGAGAACTGCTTTTTGGTTTTCGTTTGCTGCCCTTCCCCCCGCACCTCGGATTAGCACGGTTGGCTACGTACGGTGCGAAATAAGTTCAACGTACGTACAAAGAAGGCCACGTGTCAGCAGGAACACGGCCAAGGCGGCGTTGGCGTTGTGCACACGCGGTGGAGTATTCGCCTCAAGCACTGCGCTATGTATTTTAAACATTGACACTGGAAGAATCCGATTTTTCACAGACGGCGAGCGAGCGGACGCAACGCAATGTCTCTCGCGCAGGTCAACACGGCCTACTCGCCCGGCAGTGCTCGCGAATGCAATTTAAAACTGCCATTACCCGCGACAGTAATTATTAAGACTGATGATGAATCATCGTCTCTAACCGAGCGAGGCGTTCCCACCAGTGCCCAAGCTGCCCTGCATTCTGCTGGAGATTATTACGTAACACTGTGTTAACGTTCATGCAGCATTCATATGTAACGATAATAATAAAACAGAATTGTGACATTATGACGATTCTAAAATCCACCAACGGATGAAGATGTCCACCCATGGCATGTCGCTCTCATGGAGTTTTAAAAAAAAAATGACCATACTTCACCACGCCGGTTCAGTGCGGGTTGGTGTAGAGGGGAAGGCCAAGGTCTGATATCACTCGCCCAGAACTCATAGCCCGGGCAGGGAATTGAACTCGAGTCACCGGGTGGGTTGGTGGCGCTGCGTGAAAAGCAGCACACGCCACTCCCCACCATGTGAATGCGCGCGTGCTGATCGCGTGAAATGACCGCGGAATGCGCACGCACGGTTCAGTGCTGCGTGTTCGACTCAAATCACGTGAGGGCCATAGTTCGGCTTTTGACGGCATCGTCACACTTCACCAAAAGCATGGCATGACGCTATAATGGATTAAAATGGGCAATCAATGTAATGGAGTGCTCAATAACAGCCACGAGTCAAAGAGTAAAGACGTTAGCGCAAGATAATTGTACATCAATTTAAGTTCCTGTTTACTTTTTGAGAAATTATTAAGAGCGGGGATGCGAATGGTCGTTGAAATGCCAGGATGATAAACTGTGCCCCGGCTTCAAATGCCTACATTTAAAATGAAAAATATATATGGCAGGGTCAACTGAAAATGTTTCCACTTGCGATCCTCATCATCCTCATCATCCTCATGAACTGCCGCCAGCCATGGTCAATCCGCTGCTAGATTAAAACCTCTGAAGCCTCCGCCTGTCTCGGTGACAGCGACGCCACTTCTCTTCTCTGCTTAATCCCTCGCACCACTCCTCTTGGGAATTCGCTCTCAATCGTATCTTGTCCCATCACCCCCCCGCCATCCCAAGCTTCTGCAACTTAAGCTCTTGACTTTTACGACATGAACTATAGTGCTGAACAATAATAATACTAATAATAGGTTTTACCCTTTCTGGCAATGAAACGGGAGGCGTTAAAACGTCCAAACACCAAATGTGAACCTTTTACGCAAGGATTCAAGTCTGCATTAACCACGCACAGTACTTGTGGTAAACATGCAAACAAGCGTGCTCTCATAATAATCTCTGCATTGTCTTTGAAACTGATTGGCCGACACCAGAGACAGCCTTCTTCATGTGCCATGTGCCCAGTCTCACCACCAGTGTCAGAACAGAGAACGCCAAAAGGCTACCACGATCGTGCTGTTTATTACTGTCCCCTTGACGTTTTGAGCCATTGGGACCGGCACTCAGAGATCGTGTTAAAAAAAGAGACATACGATGAAGACGATAATTATGATGACGATGATGAAATACATGGACGAGTGCATCATTCATTCAAGCTGGAAGCACTCACCTAAACCTCTCATACATTATTTACACACGCGGTAAATACCTTGCTACGATAGCAATAAAACTCCAGATGTAGGACGCTGGGCTGTGAAGTTCAAGAGCAATACCTTCACCGGTGAATTAGACATTTAGTTTAGATGCTTGTAAAAATGCACTAAAGCCGTCAGAAAAAAATTAAACTTCCGTGCATTTTATAACCAAGAAACGACTGCCCTCTGCTTCAATCCCACGTGGCCGGGAGTTCATCTGTAGAATTATTACTTACCAAACACTTTTAATAAAACAAAGTAGAAAAAAATCAATCGTCTTATACAGTGCAACATTGATTTACTGCGGCAATTTCTTGTTTTTTTCTCCTAGGGCTCATCAGAGATTGCTGCAACTGACCCCACAGACCACGAATATATAAACATTATGCCCCGTAATTCTGCTCTCTTGACCGGAAAATGGCCCCGATGCACATGGCGAGGGCAGGAGGAGTCAGGAGGGAGGATGAGAGGCCTTGGTGAGCACTGATGCCACCGGACCGCGCTCCAAATTCCTCTGGGAGCAACTTCTTGCTCCCCGACGAGCTCCCGCGAGCCACATCGAAGCGACCAATTTCCACTCACCCCACTCCCCCCCCCACCCCAAGCCCGCACGCATTTTTTTGCGGAAACACCGTGGGTAACCCAGCATTCGAATTTGCTCCGTCTGTCCTTTTGGGGCAGTTAGCAGGTCCGCCGCGGGGTTCACGATTGTAATTGCAAAGTGTTAAAGCAAAAAAAAAAAACACCTCGTAATTATTATTTTTGATAAGCGGCGAACGTCAAAATAGCCGGCAATAATTTGTGATGCGGCATTACGAATCATTGTGCTGGTGCTGTTCTTATTAACATGGGGGTTACAATACGTACGGTTTTACGTTGTTCGTGAAGCACCGTCTCGTATTCACGTGCATTGAGGCTCTCGGAATATTTAGTTGTTTTACCGAATTCGAAGAAAACGGTTCTCATTGTTACTTTAGTTGCCGACCGGTGCCCTAAACCCTTCCGTCTCTGTCCGCCCAGCAGAATAAACAAACGGGTACCGCGCTGTTCGTCAAAACGGTAGGTCGTGCGTGGCGGGGTGAAGTGTGCAATAAATACAGGTCCTCTTCCGAGACGCCTGGTCAAGCGTGGAAAGTGCGCGCAACATCTTCCAGAGAGGCCCGACCGAGTTCTCTCTCTCTAGCGGAGAAGCTGCTGCCAGCAGTGGCGGTCGGGCAAGCCATTTGAGGTGCCGGACCTTCGACGCATTTCAAGCAGCGGTGCGATGGACGCGCGTACGTGTACCGTTAACCTTCCGCGTTCGACCGAGGCGTCGCCGAATCTGGGTCTGTCTTCGGTTGACGTGTAAAGCCCTTCGGCTGCACCGCGCCCAATTACTGGCACGCCTGACAGCGCCGCTGAGCATTCCAAACACCGCCGCCTGCAGCTCAACACTCGCTGAGGCTGCATCCTGAAATCCTCACGCGTGCTGCCACAGCTCGAATGCACCTCCCACATGAATGAGAGCGTCTGGCATGAAATCAAACAGCAAGAACATCTATTTTACTGCTAGCACGTGAAGGGTTATAAGCACTTTGTTCTTTTCTCGGACACGGCCAACATCAGTGGCCAGTAACACAACTTGGTTGAACCTCTAGGTTCACTCAGCCCCCCCTGATAGTACCTGGCGAAGCGTGCGTACAAAAGCATCGCTTGTTCACAATGCAGGCCGTAATAGGCGCTCGCTAACGGCACCTCTGCTCTGACCGTACATGCAGGCTACACAGGGGGATCTACGCTTTTGCCCCCCATATATAAGGCAAAGATCCCCCATATTGCCTTAACTGACTTTCGGTGCAAGTGCTGTTGTATACACACACACACACACTGACGGCAGCAACAACAACAATAACATCATATCGTTAGTTTTTTCGGTAAAGTCACGTTGAAGGGAAATAACAAAATAATAAAATATATATAAAACAATAAAAAAATTCTCACGACGTTTCGACCATAACTCAAACGGTCGTCTTCAGGTGTGTTGGTTTGCATAAATCGATTTTATGACGGCGCATTTATTTATTTATTTAAAAAAAACCGTTAGCGCCACGAAAGCTTTAAATCAACAATAACATCATTAGCTATTCGCCACTGAGTGATGGTAACAATCCCGCAGTAACGCCTCGGTGCGCTTCGAAGCCACGTGCAGCGCACAACCAAATCTGATCGTCAAATAGGCGAGACGCTGATCGATCATCAGGCGGGGAGAGTGTGCACGCACCTCCTTGAGGAGGGGGGGGGGCGGGGGGGGCGACGACTCCGCACGTACCCGGAAGGCGGCGAGCACGATGCGCGTGACCTTCTCCTTGACCGACTCGTTGAGGACGTCGGCCAGCGCCGGCACGGGGCTGTTGTTGCGCAGCAGCTCGCACACCTGCGGGCTGAACGCCAGCAGCCACAGACAGAAGCTCATCTGGTACTGCAGCTGCACGCCACACCTGTTGTGGAGCACCGCCATGATGCTGCCGCCGGAGAGTGCACGGGGGGAGGGGGGAGACGTCGGGTGAGCGTGGGGGCAGGGAGGAGAGGGCAGGTGAGCCTGGGGGAGGGAGAAGGGCAGGTGAGTGTTGGGGGAGGGAGGAGGGCAGGTGAGTGTTGGGGGAGGGAGAAGGGCAGGTGAGTGTTGGGGGAGGGAGGAGGGCAGGTGAGTGTTGGGGGAGGGAGGAGGGGACAGGTGAGCCTGGGGGAGGGAGAAGGGCAGGTGAGTGTTGGGGGAGGGAGGAGGGCAGGTGAGTGTTGGGGGAGGGAGAAGGGCAGGTGAGTGTTGGGGGAGGGAGGAGGGCAGGTGAGTGTTGGGGGAGGGAGGAGGGGACAGGTGAGCCTGGGGGAGGGAGAAGGGCAGGTGAGTGTTGGGGGAGGGAGAAGGGCAGGTGAGTGTTGGGGGAGGGAGGAGGGCAGGTGAGTGTTGGGGGAGGGAGAAGGGCAGGTGAGTGTTGGGGGAGGGAGGAGGGCAGGTGAGTGTTGGGGGAGGGAGGAGGGGACAGGTGAGCCTGGGGGAGGGAGAAGGGCAGGTGAGTGTTGGGGGAGGGAGAAGGGCAGGTGAGTGTTGGGGGAGGGAGGAGGGCAGGTGAGTGTTGGGGGAGGGAGAAGGGCAGGTGAGTGTTGGGGGAGGGAGGAGGGCAGGTGAGTGTTGGGGGAGGGAGGAGGGGACAGGTGAGCCTGGGGGAGGGAGAAGGGCAGGTGAGTGTTGGGGGAGGGAGAAGGGCAGGTGAGTGTTGGGGGAGGGAGGAGGGGACAGGTGAGCCTGGGGGAGGGAGAAGGGCAGGTGAGTGTTGGGGAGGGAGAAGGGCAGGTGAGTGTTGGGGGAGGGAGAAGGGCAGGTGAGCCTGGGGGAGGGAGAAGGGCAGGTGAGTGTTGGGGGAGGGAGGAGGGCAGGTGAGTGTTGGGGGAGGGAGAAGGGCAGGTGAGTGTTGGGGGAGGGAGAAGGGCAGGTGAGTGTTGGGCGAGGGAGGAGGGGACAGGTGAGCCTGGGGGAGGGAGGAGAGGGCAGGTGAGTGTGGGGGCAGTGAGGAGGGGGCAGGTAAATTTCGGGGAGAGGGAGGAGGGCAGGTGAGCTTGCGGGAGGGAGGAAGGAGAGGACAGGTGAACATGGGGGAGGGCAGGTGAGCGTGGGGGTAGGGCAGGTGAGCGTGGGGGGAGGGAGGATGGCTTGAAACTACGCCCAGCATCTTCAGGACATGATCCAGAAAGTCAAAATAAAATCCAGCCTGCTGTCCCGATAATATTCATAATAAAGGATTTTGGGTTAAATCGCGTTTATTTATAAATGTGATCTAAACGCGATCTAACCCAAAATCCTTTATTATGAATAATATTGGTCGCGAAAGCCTACGTGTTAAACTGTCCCGATAATGTTCGGTGCAGTTTCAAGCCAAACGTCGTGTATATAATAATACAAATTTGGCTTTGAGAATTGCTCAACTCACCGGTGAGCCAAAACAATCATAATAATGAGCGCGTTAAACGCGTGTACACTACGTGACAATTTAATTTGTTTGGCTATGTTGGGTAGTGGAGGGTTCTTATGACATTACGTTGCGTAACCCAAACATCTATTATGAATCACAACAATGGCTCTGCAAAACCTACGTGATGTGAAATGAAGAGCAGTCGCTTGTATGGAGAATCTGTCATCGTCATTATCATTGTCAATGTCATCCTAATGATTGGCATTCTCACCATCATCACCATCATTACCATCATCACCATCATCATCGCCACTGGGCCATTCTCTATCTCATACCGAATAGAGGGTTGTTCACGGTGACACCGTTCCCTTCAGGTCTAAGCAAGTGAAATCTCCCAACATAAAGCGCTCAAATCCTCATGCATATTTTGCAATGGACCAGAGAGCCAAGGGCCAGGAACTGCTGATACTTGATCACAAACTTGAAAAGAAATCTCTCTTTCATCTACTTTTTTCTTCTTCCTAAAAATTGTTCAACCAATAGGTGACAGAAGGCTGGAATACCTCTGACAGCTGTCAATCACAGCAGCAGTCGCGCAATTTTTGGAGTAAAATAGAGCCGTGAGGAGGCTTTCACCCTGGCGCAGGATGGTGCTGTCAGGATTGAGCGCGAAACGCAAGTCCCTCTACAGGCCGCTCCCTTTCAGAATGGTGAAGAAAAAACAAATAGACGGGTTAAAAATAAATTTCAATTCACGGAGAAGTTTAATGGGGCACGGCTCCGATTAACGACGGGAACATGCCACTGAGGACTCGTGAACATCATGCACAGCTGTTTGCCTCCGAGTAGCTCGTTGTGGCTCAGCTGCTCATCAACGGCGATGTCCTCACGCTAATGATAAATGCTCGCGATTCTTTTACGCGCACTACTTGTGTTTCATTCTCCTTCTCCGAACCGAATGACAGACACAACAGCACGGCCTTGAGGCAATTCCGGAGCTCGGCTGTGCGGCTGTGCGCACCGCGGTGACCGCTGCGGACGCACGAACCAGAAACACGCAAGCTGTCCACTGCACAGTGGGACCTTTCAGATCCGGTGGTATCGCGATCACGCCGACTCTTAACAGATTCCTGATTAAAGTGGCCTCCGGGTGAAACATTTGCACTCATATATTTATATATATGTTTGTTTGTTTTTTTAGGCGTTTACTTTTTGTTATTTTCTTTGAGGCGAAATTAAAGGTGTCTCTCGGGACTGTCTGGACAGTTGAGCAAATGTTAGGAAGAGCGGAGCTTCGAAGTCAGTTGTCGACTTCGGAGCCACCGCCCCGATCTAGCAGAGGGAGGGAAAGAAGCGATGCCGAGGCGTAGGGGAATAAACATCATCGGCCGTGATGAAGTCTTGAGCGTGACGCATTGGCAATGCTCTATGCAATGCTCACTCTCTCCCCATGACTCTTCTGCAACGACTACCATGGTTACTGTTGCCATGAAACTCACTCATCGATTCCTCGACCCCCATGTTGAGGAGTCGGTTCTGATAGAAACCAGGCTGTTTCACCTCATTCACTCTGTGTTCAACCACCACCAACACTGCAGGGCGCAATGACTCACCCACACACTCACCCACTCACTTACCCACCCACCCACTCACCCACTCACCCACTCACTCGCCACATTTATGGCCTTCTCTCTCGCACTGCGCCCCTTTTGGAATTCCTCCAATCGTTTCTTTTCCAAAAGCCCCCCATAAACTCGCTCACTTCAAGAAACATATTAACTCTTGAGAGCTGAGCTGTTAACCTGAGGATGCCGGGTGTAAATCTCCAGAGAGACGTGACACTCACGAGCACGCTGGGACATCATTCTCTGACAACAACAACAGCAACACCCGGTGGTGCTGCTGAGACGGTAATAAATGTGGCACGTTTCAGTCACATTTATTAATGGGCTGTGTCGGGTGGAGGAGTGTTTACGACACATTTTTTTCCCAAGACCTAAACCCAAACGCCCAATTATGGATCATAACTCCAATCTATTACACCGTCAATCGTGCTGATCGTTTTTGGTCGCTTAGCATTTGAGGCTTTTGGAGCTGTGCTTAGGAACCGTGATTTTTTTTGTTTAAATTGTCCACTGCAGTTTCAAATAATGTTACTAAATTACCTTCATCTGCGTCTTCATTCAGACTCGTTCATCTTGTGGCGCCATAGTCAGCCGGACTTTTGTCTCGTGGTTTTCAGCCACACGTAGTCATTGTTGTAAGTACGTACGTTGAACTTCTTTTGCACCGTACATAGCCAACCGTGCTAATCGTTGAATAAATAAATAAATATTCCTATAAACTTCATCGAAGAAAACATCTCCGTCGGTGATTTCGTGAAACGGAATTATTTCCCCCCCGCCCAATTCGCGAGCGGGAGAAATTGACGGCGGCCGCCACTCCGTACCAGCTGATGCCGTCCTCCTGCACCCACGCGAAGCGGTATTCCCCCGTGCGGAGGATGAGCTGCAGGCAGGACGCGGCGCTCTGGAAGTAGTGCAGCGCCTGTGGGAGGGGGGAAGCGCCTCGGAGTCAGAGAGCGGACATGGTGCCGTGTCGCGAAAACGACACGGTATCACGCACGCGTGTTGACCCTCTTTCACACCGTGCGTTGCCAACCGTGCTAATTGGAGGTGCGGGAGAAGGACCTTCGATTTGCACGGTTGGCTATGTACAGTGGAAAAGAAGTTCAACATACATACAAGCACTAAATGCAGTTCTAAAGACATTGCCGGTTATCGCGCGATCAGATTCCCGCCACTTTGTAATTTTAAGCAGTTGGGATCACACTTAGCAACATCACCGCCGACTGTGAAATTACTGCAGACTGTTTCTGTCAAATTTAGCGCCTTCTTAATAGCCATGCTGACCCCGCTTCTACTGGACATCTGTGAAAAAGAGCTTCATAGCTCATCGGATTCCTACAGGATAAATAAAGATTGTGATTTGGATTCCGTTTCAAACGGTGTGAATACGAAATATACTAACTTATTCAATGTACTTCGCATGCTTATTGTCTTGAAACAATACAAACGAGGGAGGAAAACACGAGAGACAAACAGGAACCGGATCTTGGGATCAAATCGCGACCACGAATTTTGCCACATTTTCACCAAACCGCTGGAGGACCGAAGTCTTACCGATCCCTAAAATGACGAGACTGGTGCGACGGGTGCACAGATGCCGCAGAGGTCTCACCCCCCCCCCCCCCAAGCCCCGTGGCCGTCCCCCGCACCTCCGGTTGGCCACGTACGCTGCGAAAGAAGTTCAACGTGCATGCGTGCGTGCATGCGTGCGTGCGTTCGTGAGCTGGGCGACAAGCGCTTCCAATGGGCGGCCCATTTTGGGCACTTTCGTCACCGTCAGATTTTTTTTTCCGTTCCACTAAATGTGACATCCATCTGCGTCGATCGGGCACTTTTTCAGTTTCACACGCACGCGCGTCGCAATTGTTTGCCATGCGCGCGTGCGTGCGTGCGTGTGTGCACACGCTTGTCCACTTAAAAAAGATTTTAACGATTTACCAGGCAATCTAATTAGGTAAATAAAAGTCTGTGCTTCTGTCATTACTCTTAAGCTTTACGAGAAGTGCACTTAATGCTGCCACAGGTAATTAGAGCTGCAGAACTGACGACTGAAGTAATCAATTAACTTGCCCATTATCGCTTGTCAATCGACTGCCGGATGAGGGCCTTGTACGTACGTACGTACTTTGAACTTCTTCCGCACCATACGTAGCCAACCTCCCATGCTGTGTCACCCGTGATGGCTTTTTTTGACCATACTTCACCACGCTGACCAATGTGGGTTGGTGAAAGGGAGAGCCCAGGTCTGGCTCGCAAATCGCTCCCCGCTCAATATTAGCTGTGGCTGGGAAGCAAACTCCGGTCATTTAGCTCAGCCAGCAGCGAACGGACAAAAGGGAATTGCCAAAAGACGAATCGTCACGTTGCAAGACAGCGAGGGATGACGACGGCGTAGGGCGGCGTCTACCCAGCAGTGGGTAAATCATGGCCGAGGATGACTGATGATGACGACGAATATGATAACGTGAAGCAGGTGCCATAATACGTTTCCGAGAAAATAGATGATTTCTCGCGGAGAACACACGAGACGCATGGGAGCCAGCCCCGGCTCATTGCGAGCGCGTGAGCGCAGTGTCTCGCGCATCTGACGAGCGTGCGGGCAGCCCGTCACTGGTGTGGCGGTGTCACGCCGTCTCTTCACGTCGCGTGAATAATTAGCGAGCCGCGATCTAAACGCGCGGCCCAACTGTGGTAACGAACTCCGAAACCGAACTCGCCGACCGACCGGGGACGATGCTCAACGTTTGCCGTGCTCTAATTGTAACTTTTATTTTATTTTTAATTTGCCGCTCGTGAAAATTATTCACGCCAAATGAATGTGCGGAAGGCCAGGGTATTTATGTGTGACTTCCTGTTTCTCCTTCTGCGTGATATAACCGAGGGGTGCCCATTAATGTCACACAAACTATCGCTCGCGTACACCCCGCTATGTTTATCACGACAACATTGCGGAGCTGTTCACTGGCCACGCGACGCTGCCACGTTGTAAATGGTTAATAAATTGGACACCAGAGGTCATCGGTTCAATCTCATCTCCTGGCGTGGCAGCTGAAGCAATGAAACAAGTTTCTTAACCCCCCCGCCCCCGCCGCCCTCCATTGCCTCTGTCTGTCCAGCAGTAAAAAATAAATGGTTCCATTTTTACTGCTGTGAGTCTATTGGCAGGTTACGCGTGGTGGGGTAAAGTGTGAGTAATGCCACATCTTCCTAGACGTCTGGCCAGCGCCGAGAAGTAGGTCAAAAATCACTCTGCAGAGGTGGGGGCCTCTCGGGTTATCTCGAGTGGAGGCCCTCCTACCAGCAGTGGCACGAGCAGGACATTGCAGGCCTCCACCTTTGCCTTTCTTTTCACCTTTCACAATGGCCATGCAGTCATTAGAGCCGGCGTGATAATTCAACGCGCGCTACAAATAAACAGCGCAGTAGGTTTCATAGGAGCGGAGTAGTAGATCAGTAATTAGCACGCTGCACTATGAACCCCGTGACCCGAGTTTATTCCCCAGTCACGGCTAACATCAGTGGCGAGTGATATCCAAACCAGTCCTGCCCCTCCCCTCCACCGTCCTTTGCATTGACCAGTGTGGTGAAGTATGGTCCGATAACCTGTACGACCGAGGCCTCCATCCAGCGGGAAATTCACAGACCGCTATAAATGTACTATTATATTATCTGGTACTCTCAGTAAAGTCACGTAGATGGAAAAATAATAACGTGAATAAAAATAAAAACCATGACGTTTCGGTTACAACACAAGCAGTCGCCATCATGATGATGACGACTGATTTATATCATAATTATTATTTTTCTTCTATCTACATGACTTTACCAAAAGAACCAAATAATATGAATTCCTGCTGTCACGAACGTTTTAAGTCAAAATGTACTATTATATTTTGATTTAAAGCTTTCGTGACTGCAGGGATTCATATTCTTCGTTCTTTCTACGTGGCTTTACCGAAAGAACCAAGAATATGTACTATTATGTTACACAATAAAAACCACAGGTCTGAATAATAAAGTTTGGACAGATGAAATAAACGTGACTATTTTCAACTTTTCCATTTGTTTGCCTGATGCGGTGCAGAACAATGTGGCGTAGGTCTGGTTTCACAGTCGGGCTGTGCATTTCTCCGATGTGCAAACGCATTGGAGGGTGAGAATGTGCGAGGGTCGTGGCAAGCCGTGGCAGAATGATATTCGTGGCGGTTTCCATCTGACACTTATAGTTGCGGTCATCCACAAAAGTGACAAATATTCGACGAAGATCTTGTGAACATATTCATGCCACTTGTTCTGATGTTAGTTTACTTTGCTTCGTTTTATCTGCGCATCCCCCTGCTCTGCTTCTTCTGCTGACACCCCCCTCGCATCTCACGCGCGCTCAACACAAACACTCTCAACATGCCGCGCCGTTGTGCTTGCACCACTCCGTGTTTCTGCGTCGTCAGTGAATCTTAGAGTTAGGAGTTCAAAAATGTTGGTGGCAGCTATTGCTCTCATTATACAGGTACCTAGCGCGGGCCCAAAATCCCCACAAACGCCAAGCAGCCAGCACACGGACGGCACGGTCAAGGAGTCGCAAATTGGCGAGGGTGATTCACGCGTTTGTCGACTTGAGAGAGGTGGCATTTTAATGCGCAGGATTTCGCGGCCACCGCAGATTGTATTTACGCGATCAAACCCCACCGGGGAAAAAATCAATTGGGGAAGGTTCGCAGAGCTTGGGGGAAAAACGATGAGGTGGAATTCCAAAGCGTAGCAGTGCGAGAGAACAATTGAGCGAGCGTGGTGGGTGAGTGGGTGTGTTGCTGTGACCTACAGTGTGGTGGTTGAACACACGATAAACCACTTTGTTGAGCTATCTTTTGTGGAAATTCCCGTGCGCTCACATCACGGCAGAATCCATAAGGGGGTGTAACGCATACCATTAAAAACATCTTCATGTTGTCAAGAGGGTGTGTTTATAGGTATCATTGAGGAGCAATGGCACGGTGGTTAGTGCTCTGTGCTATGATCCTGGCGACTTGAGTTTGATTCCCACTCATCACCAACAACAGTGGTGAATATTTTAACCGGTTCTGGGCTTCTGCTAAGTCGCGACTCATTCTCAAATGAGTGTCTGGTATGGTGTGCAAACATCAGCACTGGGGAGACAAAGGCGGCCGGGCGTGATGCTGGCCACCCATCCCCTTGAGTGCCATGCCGGCCTTCATAGGTGCTCGCGAACAGCACTTGTCCCAATATTCTGCTAAGGCTATAGGCGGATATTTGTCTTACCAAGCTGACACGACTCTCTATGCCTCTTTAATAATGTATGGCGCCTTCATGGACGCTTGTATTTTAATACGAGTTCCATTTTAAAGTGGGTTTTTGTGGTTTGATTGTTTGGCCTTATTGGGTTTTTAAAAAAAAATTATTATGTTTTACCTTCATACTTTTCACAGGTTCGATAATTCGCGATCACCAAAATTAGACATCCGCCTCTAACGCATCGCCCAGTCTTTGAGATGCCCCACCAGACAGGGACCACAACCGCCACGTGCATCATGGGGGTGTCCGCTCCGTTTCGCTCCGTGTGGGTCAGGGAGTGAGGAAGAAGGTCACAGAACGTGGAGCGATCTCTTGTGGACATCGTACCGGACACCAGCACGGCACGGAACACGCCGATATAACACATCGGAGGAGCCGTACGGCACAACTAACGCAGTGGAATTCTTTGCCCGAGATTTGAATTTCGGGCAAGGGGGAATTTTTTTTCTTTTATTGTTTAATGACGTTTGCTCAGATTGCGTGATATAAAAATAGCGGTAAGTGAGAAAGGTGGAAAAAAAGAGACGCTTCTCCTAATGTTCTCGTGGACACACGGGTGTATACAACATCGATTGGAATTTCCGCAAGCAATTGCTTCAGAGATCTACCATCGCTGGCGGTATAATGTGCATTTAATCTCCGTGCACCCCACAACCTCCAGCGCGCGCGGACTACACGAACAGCCGAGCAATGAGATGCAGTCACAGCCCCCGCAGAGCCGAGTAGCCCCCACCCGCGACCCGACCCCCGCCCCCCCCCGAGGCTCCCACGGCCCCCGCGGCCCAACCCGTACCTCGCTGTTGCCTCCGCCGCTCACTCCATCCCCGACCGCCGCTCGGAGCTTCTGCAGCCGCCACAGCCACAGCCGCCGTTCAAAGATTGGGGGAGAGGCGGGGGAAGAAGATGCAACGGCATCGGTCAGGATCGCGGACGCTCATAAACGTCCAACCATAAAAAAAAATCACATCTACGTACGCGTTTGTGGTTGCACGGCTCTCCGTCGTTGTTGTTGTTGTGGAGTTGTGGTCACGTGTTCGTTCGGGCGACGACGTCCGACGTTTCGCTTGGTGCACGGTCACCAGGGCAAAGGTTGGTGCTGGCGTGGTTGGCGTGAGCCCCTGGTGCTGGCGTTGTTGGCATGATGCCCTGGATCAAGGAATTAAATGGGGGGCACTCTGGCCCCTGTGACCCCATGGGCCCCGGTGCAGTTGCACCGCCTGCACAGTCGATAGCCCCTCCACTGAAGCTAGGCATTTCGAGGGCGACGGTGTTTTCGTTAATTGCGTGAACTTCCCCACTACCAGCCTGCCCGTCCGGCCCTGTTAAATCGGCACCGTCGATCGCTGATGCATCAGGTGGCTCAGGTGGGTCAGTCACGTGGGTCAGTCGAGTGAGATGAATCCCATTGAATTGGGGCAGAGTTGGGCACACGTTTCTCTCATGAAGGCCACCACATCAAATGAATATTATTTTAGAATTGTAATAATGCCATGGTGTAATCTAATGATCATTCTTGATTGAAAATTAATTTATTTAGAACTGCTTTTTGTGTCTAGTTTGCGGTCCTTCCCCTGCAGCTCTGATTAGCATGGTTGGCTACGTACGGTACGAAAGAAGTTCAACATACAAACATTGCAATCCAGATTTCGCCAGCTCTTTCTCACGGTGTGCCCAATGGAACCATGATTCAAGCTCCTTAATTCCACCACCCAACCACGACCTCTATCCACCCAGCAGAATAAATGGGTACAGCACGCAGTAAAATCTATTGCCGGGTTACGCTGGTGGGATAAAGTGTGTGCATTCCCACCTCTTCCAAGACATTTGGCCAGTGTGGAAGAGTTGGCCAAATACCATCAAGAGGGGATCTATAGAACTCCCTCTAATAGAGGCCCTTTCTGGCAGCAGTCACACGGGAAAGAATGTGCAGGGCTGTGGCTTCACCACCTTCGCCTAGCGGAGACGACAGAGTGATCTGCTTGCATTAGGGCTGAGTTGGGCAATTGCCTTCGTACGAGATGGCACCCAGTCTAATGGATGGTTCTGCTGGAGGCTACTGGTCATGAGCGTGAGACTATAGGACACGGTGTTGTGTCGGCCTCCATGGATAATCCACCAATTACAAGTGAACTCACAGCAGTGGAGTTCAATTCCACAAGGCTGTATGTCAGGGAGAAAAAAAAAACAATCCGACAGCGCCACTAAAGGGCAAAGCAATTTCAGTGGCTGATCAATGTGTGTCCTCGTGACTTGTTAAGGGCAGGTTGTGGGCTGGCCAAGGGAGGGTAGTAAAGACCAAAATATCCGGCGATGGAATCTGTGCCTACATTACCACATGTTATTTTTTTTAAACACTAATAATGTAAATTATCTATCCTGGCCATTATCACATAGACTCAACACTGTTTCCGGATGGCCCTGCATTGGTGCATTGGGATGTCGAGCCAATGCCTGGACCAATACAATTGTCGAGCAACTCTCTCGCGTGTTTTCAGGCTGCACCGTTCACAACGATGTTGCAGCAATTTCGGTCGCTGAAGACGCTTCCGGCGAATGGGAGAGGAAATGCCGTGCACCGTGTGAAGTGGCAAGCGTTGAAGCCGCGAACACCTCCGCAGTACTAATAATGGGTGCTTGAAATGCGGGAGGAAACCAGAGTGCCCGGAGAAAAATCCCCCACACGTACGAGGGGGTGGCATTCAACAGCTGCCATTTGTTGTCCACCTCACAGCCCCGGTGGTGAACCCATTCAAACTGCTGGGTGGACAGAGGCAGGGGTACATTTAATAAAGCCTGCACCATCGTTGTGGCATCCAATTAAGTGGAGTAACACACTTTAGTCGTCGGTTAAGCATACACGAGGTGACACGCAACACAAGGCAGCCTCAATCGAAATGCACAATCCGTCTGCTGCACCCCAGGGATGGCACCAAGAGAACTGGTTAGGATCTGACAGAGAGAGACAGCCTCCAGGGAGCTGAATATTTTAAACACACAGCCACCGAAGGATTACTCCAAACCTTATTTAAACCTATTCTCGGTGTCACTTAATCCTCCATATGTCATTGTACATAGGTATGACACATATGGCCAGTTCCGCAATTTCACGTGCATATTTTTAGACACTTTAAAGATGTGAGTAATCATTGGTGTAATTGTAAAGCGGATTTCAACTTGGGCAGAGTAAATCACCATTTGGGACTGCAATTCATATGGAAATAAGCTGCATATAAGAGTCTAAAAACGTGATGACGGTCACTTACATTATACATCAGAATTATAAAAGCCTCTGCTGAATCAGTGTAGATTACCCTGCTGTGATGTCTTTAACTGAAACTGAAAAGTACACAGCGGCATGGGAAGGTGTGCGCTTGGAACTCTGCCGAGAGACGCGTGGATTGGATAACATCCCCAAGATGGAGACATTACGTTGACGGAAAATTTTAAGAATCTCGTTGACTGTTAACAAAAGGAAGTGGGCTTAGGCCGGACGCGTCATGGCCACAAGAAATTACGGCCAGCGGTGGAAACGAGCAACGATGTCTAGGCCTGATATTTTTAATGTTTTTAGGTAACCTAAATATTGGAAACAAATCTTTTGTGCACAGACACGCACATGTTAAGGCCCCAGCATCATCATCATTGTCGTGTCTATACGTAGACTTTTTAATGCACATTTTTCCATATAGCATAAATCATACGTAATGCTTTTGTTACAATCATTCACAGGTCCAAATTTGTGCTGAATAGCTAAATTTCATTTATGCACATAATTACATTACTTCCCATTATTAAGTTCGATGTCTGCAAACGCGCTCGTATAACCTGCTCTCGTCCCCGTTATTTGTCATTAAAACATTTGAATTCCAGCAATGGCGGAGCCAGGATTTTCAGGTAGGGGGGGCAACCCCTCCAACAATGAAAAATGATAGAGGAGTTGTTAGTAAGGACTTGTTAGTGAGTAAGGAGTTGTTAGTAAGTAAGGAGTTGTTAGTAAGCAAGGAGTTGTTAGTAAGTAAGGAGTTGTTAGTAAGTAATGAGTTGTTAGTAAGGACTTGTTAGTGAGTAAGGAGTTGTTAGTAAGTAAGGAGTTGTTAGTAAGCAAGGAGTTGTTAGTGAGTAAGGAGTTGTTAGTAAGTAATGAGTTGTTAGTAAGGAGTTGTTAGTAAGTAATGAGTTGTTAGTAAGTAAGGAGTTGTTAGTAAGTAAGGAGTTGTTAATGAGTAAGGAGTTGTTAGTAAGTAAGGAGTTGTTAGTGAGGACTTGTTAGTGAGTAAGGAGTTGTTAGTAAGTAAGGAGTTGTTAGTAAGGAGTTGTTAGTGAGTAAGGAGTTGTTAGTAAGTAAGGAGTTGTTAGTAAGTAAGGAGTTGTCCCTTGATTTTTATTCGACGCGTGTGCAGTGATGCTGCAGACATCGATCGAGGGTCGAATTGGAACCGCGTTTTGTGATCGGCATCGCGCTCGCTGAAGGTGCTGATGCCTTCAGGGAAGTCATAAACTGTAGACGCAACTGCTCACAATTCTGTGAGTCACTTGCAACTGCTATGAGATGATAGGACTATTGTCCTATCATCTCATAGAGTCCCTGGCATGTAATAATATGCTACACAGTGGCAGTGGCGGTCGCAAAATGCCGATTTTCGATCGGACCATTGGGGGGGAGGGGGGGGCACGTGCCACGCCCCCTCCCCCCCACTGGCTCAGCCATTAAATTCCAGTATATTTTTTTGTATATTTTGCGTAAAACTCTGACATTCTGAGTGTTTACCAGTCAAACAAGATGAACACCATCATCTGGCCTACCTTGCGGACGCTGCTGTACCACGATCTGCTTTGCGCTCTCTGTGTGCGGTGCTGTGAAGCCGCCGTTTCTTTTTGCAAGAGAGCAAGCGGTGTGAGGGGGCTCTGCTGTGCTCCTGGCCACGTGGGATCACGGGCCGGTGGCCCGTGATCTGTGCGCGTTGCCTAGGCCCCTGGAAGTGCGGCAGAGGCGCTCGGTACCTGCACGCTCAGGTGAGTCTTGAGCCAGGTGAGGTAGAAGCCGAGGTCACTCCCCTGCAGGAGCTCGCGGCTCATGATGGCCAGGCGAGCCACAACGCGCGCAGCCTGCCCACGCGCAACAGAGACAGGGAATATATTGATGCGGGAAATAAAAATGGTTTCATTTTCAATCGAGTGCCCCCACTACGTCGGGGCGTCTCAGGGAGCTTTGCACGCCAGAAGCGACCTCCATTCGCACCGCATCTCAAACGTTTTAAAGGGCACCTCCGGAAGCAGCTGACCCCGCGCGACCCGAGGTGACTCGGAGCCTGACCAGCAAACGGGGCATTGATCTGTCAATGTGATGGCGATGATTGCCACGGGTAATCCAATTTTGAGTCATTTGCGGTGCAATTTTTTTTTTATTTGAGGAAGAGCACAAATTTGACAAATTTTATTCAAGGCTCCGGCAACACAACGGTCCACTCATTTCGAATTGCATCTTTCACGTCCACTGTGAAGCGGACGTCGTGTATTTTTACAGTTCAGACAAACTGCAGTAATCACCAGGGCGGCCTGCCTGATTCGAACCGCAAACCCTCTGTAAACAAGCAACAAACGCGCTACCGCCATCCGAGATCTGCAGGCTGCTGGGGCAGGTGCCGTTCGCAAGCGCCTAGGGTGGATATCAACAGCACCACATCCGGCTGCCTTTGTCTGCCAGGTACCGATGTGTACACACCACACCTAGGGGAGGCCCAAGACTAGTTGGGCCACCCACTCTATCACCCACTCGACCGTTGAGCCACTCAATCGACCGCTGAGCCGACAACGTTTACTGATCATGTTTCCTAGAAACAGCTGTTGGGAAAAAAATATTCCTGGTAACATGCTTCCTTGCGTAGACTGGGCTTTAGCCTCAAGGGTCTTCCCAGTGTGGACTCGGCGTGCCGGAGATTCAGGTGGCCTCGTGCTCGATTTACAAATCGCAGCATTCGTGCTCATTATTCCGCTGCAAAGGCCAGAAAGAGAATTCGTTCAATTTAAAGCCAATTGCATCGTGGCATGTTAGCTCAACTAATTTTATTTTGTGAGTGGACAATTGAGTAAAACTAGCATAGGAACGAGTTATTTGTTGACACTGTTGCGTTGGCAGCGGTGCACAGGCACAATGTACAAACAATACAACTCAACAAACTCTTCAAAAGCACTGCCTTAAAATAAAAATATATTATCTGCGACAATGCAGGCAATAGTCCTTCTGAATGGCAAATAAACAGAGGACTGAGAGACCGAGTTAATCAGGGTTGGAGACAGCAGCAGACGCGTTCCTGAAATGTGCCACGCAATGCGAAAACGCGATCAGGGAAAACAATTTCCCCAACAAAAAATCATGTGAAAGGTGAGGGGTGGAGGTGCGACGGGGTGGAGTTATCGGGGTGTGGAAGAATTCCAATCAACGCTCAAGAAAGTAGCTCGTCGTCGACTGCTCAGAAACCACGTTATTACGGTGTACGTTATAGCGTTATAACGGTGCGCGTTATAACGTTATAATGATGCGCGTTATATCTTCATTACGGTGTGCGTTAAAACGTTATAATGGTGTGCGGTATACTTTTATAACGGTGTGCGGTATAGCGTTATAATGGTGCTCGTTCCGCGTTGTGTGAAAAGTGGTCCCCAAGAGAAGAAGCGTGTGAACGCCACGCGTTAAGCGAGGACTCACTATAGCAGCTATTGCGCATTGAAAATTTTTGGAACTGCTCTTTGTGTTTTAGTTTGTTGCCCTTCCCCCCACACCTGCAATTAGCACGGTTGGCTACCGTGCGGTGCGAACAAAAATTTCAAGGTGCATACATGATACTCATTTTAAAATGTTGCCGGCACAGTGGACTGTGGGAAGGTTTGTTATTAACTGGTCTACATCCCTGAGGCAGAGAGAGAGAGCAGACCCAGCAGTATCCGTTATTGTTCATCGCCACCATCTTCATCATCAATCACGCAGCCTCAGTCGTCTCATTACCGCCATGATCTGCTTGTTTAAAGTGTGACAAATCTTTCTCTCGCTCAGCCAAAGCCCTTTGGGTGCTATTTTGTAAAATCAAGAGCGTGCATCTCGAGGTATAATGGATGCCTTCAGCTGCCTTGAATAACGTTGTGCTTTGGGATCGCGTTTTGTCATTCAAAGCTACACCCCAACAGCCTTCTCACTGAACACACATTAATTACAATTTGGGATGGAATTAAAACATCAATTCATGCCGAATAATTCACAAGAGTATCGTGAAGTTAAACAGAACAATCCAGTGACTCCACGCCCCTCCTCGGCCTGATGGCAGTACAGCTTCTTAACGTTATTTTGCAATTTAACCTCTCGTTGACCTTTGCCTTCACACAAAAAAACCCAACATAGCGATCGATAACACTGCCTTAAATTAAAAAATATATATCCAACAGGCGATATTGTTTGGCCGTGGGCCTTCTTCGTGGATAGAGGCCAGAGAGACGGCGGGGGTAATTAGAGCCGGGGACTGCACTTAACACCATAGGGTCTGATGCGAATTCACTTTAAATTAATATATTGTTTCATGTTTACTGATGACCAGTTATTAAATAGGCTTATGAATAATTCCCAATTAATAGCTGATGAATAACGCACTAACCCTTCTGTAATCAAAACGTATTACGAAATAAAATTAATTGTATTAAAAGTACAATTTTAATAGGTTGTTGACATTGCATTATGGGAAGATTCGTTCTCGTGAGGCCAAATTACAACGGACTTACAAATGCATTCTTAGGCCCAATTAACATTTCAAAGGGACGGGTTGACCTGTCCTATATCAATCTAGATTTGAAGTTTTCGTGACTGCAGGAGCTGATATTCCTGAGAAATAAAATGTGAGGAGGTACGTACAGTATATATGAAGCTAAATCGTATGAACGGACTCTGAAAAAGGATAAGGGTTGTCTAGCACTCAATAATAAAGATATGTTTGAAGCGAAGGCGTCCATTCAGTCCCACCGGCTGAGCGGTTCTCAATTTTCTGGTCTCATTCACCCCAGAGGTCGAGAAGAGGCCACGCACAGACGCCACGGAGGCTGTAGCCTCCCCGCTGTCGAGGAATCGAGCCACTGGTGTGCGGACTCAACGTCTGCACGGCGAGCTGACCCAAGATTTTCATTCAAATCCCTCGCCGAGGCGTTTACCAATTGTCTCCAATGTAGTGGGAGGCCACAGCGTCCGCACGCGATGTAATGTGCCAGGTCGATCGAGGTGCTTGTCGACCTACGACGGTGCGTCAGATGATGCTCTGCGCTGTTGTTACGCTCGTGTCGGCGGATGTGTTTAATGGGTTGTTTCTTTCGTTGTTGTTAATTGTGCTTGTGCACCACCTTTACCAAGCGCAGCAGCAGCTTCACGAAATAGTGTCTTTGCTCTCACCACACCTCCACACTCTTGGAAAAATCAGATGAGCTAAGAAGCTCTTATTCACAGATGTCCCGTAGGGGCGGGTCAGAACGGTACGCCCCTCCACAAAGTGGAGGTTGTTCTATGAATTACCTCGACCCCACCATGGGAATGTGGAATTTCCACCACCGTCGCAGGACTGAAAAACGGGAAATGAGTGCCGTCTCAATGGTCATTTGATCAGGAAATAACTTTGATCTTTTAAATTGCAACAACAACACAAGAACTAAATTGCATACAAACTCCTCGCCGCGCTACTGTGGCCCATCGCGTGGTGATCGTCATGCGGTCACGTGTTCGGCGCTCATTGCAAAATGGTCACAAAAAGGTTAAAGTCCAAACGAGGTCGTGCTGGCTAACACTTGCTTCCGTCTGGTCCACAGCGACGTTAAAAATCCGGTTTACGTCGCAAGCCCATTGGGCCGGCATCAATGATCTAACTTTTTGTAAACGTGAAGCACGACTTGCAAGTTACAGCCCGCCCCCCCCCCCCCCCCCCCCATCAATATAACCATGCAGATTATGTCCGTGAAACATACTTGCCAAAAATAATGAGGCAAGAACCAAATGTGTCCTTCTGTACACGGGCACACGGAGTGGAGGTCTGTTTTACGTTAACGTGTTGTGACATCTAAGAGAGTGACCCGTGGACTCTGCGGGTTTCTGCAGCGCTGCGCCTCGTGTTTGTAAGGGACAGCAACCAGTCGACCCTGGTTGCTTTTGCGTGACAACAATCACCGGCACCTCGACACTCTCAGCACTACGCCGCTGGTGCAAAGGATTTTGTAAGCCATTCAACACGAGCCCGACTGGCCGTGCAGGTTACACGGTGCTGCGATGATCCATCAGTGTTTGGAGTCATGCTGCCCACACCGATGGGGTTAAGATGTAAACATTGGCAAAATAATTCAAAGAGGTCGTTCTTATTGATGTGTCTTCCAGTTTTGTGTTTCTTACCACCCTTAGTAGATTAAACTTTCGGAAACATCGACTGCCCAAGCTCAGCATTAATACCAATTAGAAGTTCAATTATAATTCGTAAATAATGTATGATGCCTTCTCATATATGCTGCTGTATAAAGGCCCAATCCCAAACCACTCTAAAAACGAAACAAATTTTTAATTTATAAAGTCTGGCCCACTGAGCTATATAGCTCTTTTTGAGACGCGACCTGGTCACAAATGATAGCTCAACGAAGTGGCTTATCGCGTGCAAATTTAAAGCAGCCGCATACTGGAAACGCATGTTTCTAAATGTGGAGGTAAATACCGGAGGACCCGGAGAAAAATCCACGCGATCACAGGGAGAACATGCGACCTCCAAGTATACAGCAGACGTCAGGTTCAGGGTCGAACCAACGACCTCCTGTACACCAGGCGAAGTAGTTAACATCTTGCCACCGTGGGGTCCCACTCCCCCTCCAAAAAATGTCAGTAATTGGGATTTTTTTCAGCAAACTTCACTATGCTGATCAGTGTGGGAGGGTGCGCAGGGGGTGGCTCAGAACTAAATCGACGTCGCTCACGAGCGAGCAACGTGGCCGGGATTCGAACTCTGGTCACTGGGTTCATCGAGCCAAGCACGAACCCTCCTGAAAACGAGTAGCGAGACTCTGTGAAGCTTTCCTGGCTAAACAAGTGCAATAGTAATAAT